GGCTGATACGGCCAACCTCAGTTCTATTCCTCCGCCCTTCTCAGAGAGCCTGGCAAGCTACCGAGAGTATCTTGCCCACACAGCAAAGCCTGGCAAGCTACCCATGATGTATTTGATATGCCAAACACAGTAACAAGTCTCACAATGTTACTGGGCCCGCTTGAGCAAATCGATGAACAATGGGAGGACAGTGACAGTGACAGTGACCTTAAGGTTTAAAGCAATGTTCTTTCTGTATGGACACAGGAAGACAGTTAATATTATGCTTTGTAACTTGGGAGTTGATTGACTCCGAATAATATTTACTGCTGGGCATCTTCTTTCTTGACTCAGTTTCCCTTAGTTCCTAGCACCCCAAAAGCAGGGTTCGGACGAGGGACTGAATGGACCCAGGGCAAGTTGTAAGCTACCCTGACATTGAAATGGGCCAGGCCACAGCGCCACAATATTCAATTATAAGTTGAGAGCATGGTCATAGACAAATGCTGTCATGGTCCAAAAGTAACAACGAGATTAGGATCCTGCTGGGGTTAGGAAGACTAACCTGGCCTGAGGACTGTGGTCTGTATATATAGAGATGTCCTCAGGAAAAACCAAACTGTGAGTTTATATCTCTTGTTGTGCTCATACAGAATGACATTGCTAGAAATATTAGAAGTAGATTTTACTACAACTATTTAAGTGGATTACTAGCTGAGGAAAGATCACACCCTCATTGGGATCCCACCCTTGAGCAGATCTCCTAGTAATCTAGAGTAATCTCTTTAGATGAGATTTTATGCTTGAGTTAATCTCCTAAAGGAATGGTCTTACCTCTCTTTGTTGATTTGTTAATGTTCAACCCACCTTTGTGTCACCATCCTATGTGATTGCTATATAAACTGAGACTGTAAGAATGGGCTGGGGGATCCAGATTCCAGAGCCAAAAGAAGGAGAATGAGGGAGGCAGAAGGAGAATGAAGTAGCATGGGGGAGGAAGAAGCAAGAGGAGAATCAGAGGAGAATGGAGATGGGAATGAAATGAACTGCAACTGACACCAAACAGCCTGGCCCTTGTTTCCTGCCTTCGCCTGCCCCTCACCATCGACCTCCCCGGGGTGGGGGAAGCAGCCCGAGACAACCGAACGCGGGCAGCAGGAGAGATAGAAAATCACTGTTGCCCCTTTTCATGGTGAATCAATAAAAATTAAATAAATAAAGTACTTTGTGCATGAAAAATAAATAAATGAATAAATAAATAGAACTGGGAGTGACCCCCACCCCAAGCACCCTTCAGAGCACCCAAAAAAAGAAAAAAGTGAGGAAAAACTGTGCTAAAATAGAATCATTCATGCTAGGTACCACCCAGACTTAATATGTAACCTAATGGCAGCTTCAGAGTCTCCAAGAGAGGAATGTAATCTTAAAATAATCAACCTGGAGTTCCCAGATCTGCGTGAGTGAGGTGATCTGCATGAGAACTCCCACCCACCTCCTTTTCTGGTATTAAAGTGGTGTTACCTGGTTTTATCTCTTTTGCACTAGAAAAAGCTTTCCCCACCCTTTTCCTGGCTATAAAATCCTTCAATCTGTACAAATCCTAACCTTTCTACTTGCTAGGTGGGGTCCCGTCCAATTCATAAATCATTTAATACAGTGAATTAAGTGGCTGTATTGGAGAATTGTGCATTAAGTTTGAGCCATGTCCCCTGCCCTCAATTTTGTTCACTGTTACCCAGCTCTCCCTCCTTCCCCAGCTGGTCCGTGGGCCAATAGAGGGATAGAATGGTCAGGGCTCTGCCAACTCCCAGGAGAGACAAAGGTGTTAGTGAGGTTAGGAAGCAGCTGGCTTGCAGGCTGAGTGAGAACTGCAGTGGGAAACATTTCAAGGAGCTCCCTGGAAAGGAGAATATTATCGAAGTTCCTTGTCAGCTGGGTGGAAAGGTAGCAATGTGGCGGGGACTGTCTGTCAAAATATTAAAAGGTGCAGGGCTCTAAGGGGGAGGTGAGTCTTGAGAACTTGGGGTTCCATGGGGATGGAGATACAGTATAATGAATAGGGCGCTCGCCTTGCACACAGACGACTAGGCTCGACCCCCAGCATCCCTTATGCCCCTGGACCACCGCCAGGAGTGTTTCCTAAGCGCAGAGCCAGGAGTAACCCCTGAGCATCGCTGGGCGTGCCCACCCCCCGGCGTAGAGGCGGGGAGGGAGGGACACAAAACTTGGAGTCCCATTGTCCTGGCTTACTGGCCCTGTTAGATGCTTCTACCTCCTAATGCAAACCCAGTATCCTCTCCTACCATTCCCCATATTCCCTGTCATTTAGGGAACAACCTTGGCACGGGGCGGCGAGGAGGTGAACCTCTAAAAACCGTCGCACCCCTGAGCCAATCTGGGGGTGGGGGAGATAAAGTGGCACCCTGGGCATCCCCCGATTTAGGGTTGGGTCCTGGGGGAGTTCTGCGCCTCTAAAAAACCGGCCCCACCGGCACCAGAGCGAGGCTGACCCCGGAGCCGCGGACGCTCGGCAGGCCTCGCTCGTGCGCAACCCCGACGGCCGCGCAGCGCCCCCTGGCGCCCCGCTTCGGAGCCCGGACGGTTCCGCCGGCTGCCCGCGGCCACGGCCCCGCGCGGGCTCCCCGGCCGGGGGGCGGGGTGGGGGCCGGCAGGAGGCGGGGCCAGCCGGCCCGGGAGCCTCCGAGAACGCGCGGCCTTCGGCGGCTTCCCGGCCCGGGAAGCGAGCCGGGGTCGGGAGGCCGCAAACAGGAAGTCGGGGCTGTAACAAAGAGCGCGAGGGGGCGGGGAGCCCGGGACCTCCGGGGCGAGCGCAGCGACGGCAGGTGGAGGGCTAACCCGGCCAGCGCCGCGCACCTGCCTCTTCCGCCGCCGGGGAGCGGGGTGGGGTAGGCGGGTAGGGGTCCCCCAGCCCGCCGCGATGCAGCTGGGCCTGCGAGGGAGCCGGGAGGGCAAGGAGGGCGCGGCCGCCTGGGGAAGGCCCTTGGGACCTCCCAGGCGCATCCTCTCCCCGGGAAGGGACAGTCACAGTTCCCCGCGTGAATCACGAACATCCCCTTCCCGGAATGCGACAGGCCACGTGAGGCGTGAGGGCAGGCCCCCCTGCCGAGCCTGCACGTCCCACGGGAGAGCTGCAGGGAAGAGCGGGCTCCATGGGGAGCATCCCTGTCACCTGGCAGTAGCCTAGTAGCCACATCCGGAGTGGGGTGGGGAAGGTTAAGAGTCACTGTCCTTTTCCAACCTTCTGAAGACCCAGCTGGGGAGTCCTGGCTGAGCCAGCCTGATGAAGGCGTTCCTCCTCTTCCTCACCTCCCAGGGGGTGCTGAATTGAGGGAGTGAAGGAAGGGTCTCACTTGTGAAATAACCATGCTGGTGACACATGAGTATTCGCTAAGCGCTGGAAAGCACTTCACAGTGAACCTAGAGCTGTTACCTGGGCTCCCACCGTGACCCCTGGCTGTGTTCAGCTAGAATACCTTGGGGTCTTGGGTTTCCCTGTGAGAAGGGGCTGGACTGTCAGAAGTACCTGAAAATTCAGGGCAGAGGAGGGCTGCCCCTGTGACCTCTTGACACCCCAAAGTGCCTGGCCCAGCTTGTCACCAGAGGTGGAGCCTGACATGAGCTGGAGGTTGGAGGTACCCAGACCAAGTGCATGCATAGTTTCTCTCTTGCCCCTGAGCGCTGGCACCCTGAAAGCTGGCCCCCCAGCTTTCAGGCTAGGGCAGCAGAGCTGGTGGACAGGCTCCAGGAGGGGCTGACTACCCGTGCAGCCCAGCACAGCCTGGTGGTGTGGACGTGCGGGCCGGCGGGTGTCCTACCTGTCCCCCACATGGGAGCCTCGTCATCTCGCCTCTGCGTCCCAGCCCAGTTCCCCCCGCCCCCCAGGGCCCGGGCGCTGCTTTCCTGTTTCATTTTGGGCAGGAAGAGTGAGGTCGTGTTGTTCTTCCCCCTGCTGCCGGCCCAGGCTGTGGGAACGGTTCCCTGAATGCTTTCCTGTTTGATACCCTGTGTATGCGGGCGCGGGGGGGACAGGGAGTGGGGAGCCAGGCGGAGGGTGCGCGTGCAGGCCTCTGGCTTCCGTGTCTCTGGCCTAGGCACCCGGGTCAGGGCAAGCGTGTGTGTGCACGCGCACGAGGAGGAAAAGGGAGGGCAGGCTGCATTCTTGGACGCTATTGGAAGCGAGGCATCTGGTGAACCCATTGTGCTTTACTATGGACAGGCTGAGAGCTGGAAGCATCTGCTCAGCTTTTTGTCAATGGCACAGATTTTCATTGTGATTCTCCGTGGGTCATGCTTGCGGCTGTAGAGAGAGAAGTGCCGCACCCTAGGGTCTGTGCTGCACCCTAGAGGTGAGCTAGGTGAGAAACAGAGATAGAAAACTTCAGACTGGGGGCTGGAGCGATAGCACAGCGGGTAGGGCGTTTGCCTTGCACATGGCCAACCCGGATTTGATTCCCAGCATCCCATATGGTCCCCCCAAGCAACGCCAGGAGAAATTGCTGAGTGCATGAGCCAGGAGTAACCCCTGAACATCGCTGCGTGTGACCCAAAAAGCAAAAAAAAGAAAACTTCAGACTGCTTCAGCCTGGACGGAGGAAAGGCCCCCTCCTCCCTCTCCCCACCCCAGTGCCCGGCTGAGCTGAGACAAGAGGTGGGCGGGATGCAGCCACACACAGCCCTGTAGTCGCAGGAAGGGCTCAGCCACCCTCATGGCCCCTTGCCCCAGTGGCCATATCCCCCAAACTGACTAGAGAGCCCCCTATGCTTTTCAGACTTGGAGAGAGGAAAAAGAAAGATTCAGATTCAGGCCAGGACATGTTGACCAAGGAATGGTGGGAGCATAGAGGATGGAGGGCTGGGGAAGGCCACCCCCTAATGCATAAACATCTTGGGGGTCGTGGTGGGGCATTGAGGGGCTGCACAAGGGGAGCTAGAGAGGATTTCCACTTTACCATTACAAAGACAGGACCCAAGAAGTAATAATAAACTCCTGTACACATCTGTTCCATATTATAAATATACATTATATACAAAATAATGTTATAAAATGTAGAAAGGTCAGTGCTTCTGGTTCTTAAATTATCGAAATACTAAACTCCAAAATAAACTACAAAAAACAAACAAAATAAAAACTCATATTATTGATTCCGAAGGTCGCTTCAAAGGTATCTGGGCAGCAGGGGGCCGCTGAGCAGGCTGGAGGGCAGATGTGCCTGGTGGTGAGAGCGCTCAACCCCCCACCCCCACCCCGCCCTGGAACTTCAGCTAGAACTGCCCTGAGCTCCCTGGTTAGGCCTGGGGCCCCCTTGGCGGCAGAAGGGCACATCCCACAGGACCTGCAACTGGGGCAGCGGCAGGAGGGCTGCCCCTGTGCAGTGCTTCAGGGGGTGCAGGCTGGAAGTGCTCCTCCCCATGGAGCATTCACCTCACCTGCAGGGCACCTCCTGCCAAGAACCTCACCCAGGGCTCCCGGCCCACCTGGCCCTGCCCTGACTCCTCCTCTCTCCTGTCTGATTGGAGCCCAGCTGCCACCACAGAGCCTGGGCCAAAGGCACTTTTGGAAACACGATTGACAGTGGGGGCTTCGGCAAACTCCAGGCCCCCCCCCAAGGCCACTGCCCTGCCCTCGGGAAAACAGGTTGAAGCCCCCGAGGAGCCGTGTGAAGACTGCGGCGAGCCGGGCAGATCCAAGTAGCATCTCTTCTGTCTGTTTCCCTGGCCCGGCGCAGCTGCCAATCTGATGCCGGACAGACACCCAGAGGTGCGGGAGGGCACTGCATCTCTTGGCAAGTTGTCTGTCCATTTTATGCCCTTTCCTCCTCCTGAGAGCAGCACGTTGCATATTGAGAAGTCCCATCCAGGATGCAATGTAAACAGTGCAGAAGGAAGGTCCAGCTGCTGGGCAAAGCTGGGGTGTCCCGGGGAGGCTCTTGCCTTATACCTGGGGAGCACGTGGAAAGTAGGGCAGTGGGTTACCCTTTGGGTCCAAGCACACCCTTTGTACTGCCTTAGTCTGCCTGCCGGGGAGTAGCCGAAGAAGCCTGGGAGATGGGGTGCAGAGATGGGACAGTGTGCCCCACTGTTTCCTTCCAGAATGTGCCAGCAACCTCTTGAGGTGGGCCAACCCAAGAAAACAGCAGGAAGGGCAGGAGGGACACAAGGTGGCCACTTTCCCCCACCAGCAGCTGGGAAGCAGCGCCTGAGAGCTGGCCAGGAGCCACGGCCGCCCGGCCCTAACACAGCAGGAAGAGCCCGGGCTGGGCTCCCTGCCGCGGCTCTTGTTTCACCCCCTGGAGCATCAAGGCCAGCAGGCTGGCCTGAGAGCCCCGAAACCAAGCCCATCAAGGAGGGGTTCTGACCCCCGCTTTGGGAGCAGCCCCTGAGGTGGTGGAGAGGAACCCAGCCACATTTCCATCCCCCAGAGGCAGAAGGGGGCCGGCCGCCCCACACTCACCTCCGTGGCAATCACACACTCGTTCCTCTCCTCTGATATCAAACACACAGACTGGTACATGGAGTCCCTGGGGGAGCATATCGCTGATATCCGACACTCTGGCTTTTCACTGCGGGAACACAAGACAGGCTGGTCAGGCGGGGCCCAGGGTGCGGGGGGAGATCAGGGGGATCCTGGAGCACCAAAGGACACTAGCAGAGGTAGCTCTGGGAGAAGAGGCAGAGACTGGCAGTGCCCAGGACTGGCCTGGGGGTGCTGAGGAGCAGGTCCCTAAAAGAGCTCCAGCACCCCCAAACTCACCAGAGGTTGGTTACTCAGGCCTGGGAAAGCCAGTGCGGCCACAAGAGGCTAAGCACACAGAAGGGAAAAGTGCAAAATGTAAAAGTCCAAGAGGCAAACTTGATATCTGGGAGTGAATGAATGGGAGGATGGGACAAAGGACTCCCCGCAGGAGTCTTATTGGAGGTTCTTCCTGTCAGTAGGAATCCTTATTCACATATAAAGTATCCTTGAGTGGGCCAGGCCTCTGGGGACAGGGCTGACCAGTGGACCCTGGACCTCCACATGCCACTCACCTGTGTAACCGCAGCGGGGCCTTCTCCCCTAAGCTCTTGTCACTACTGTGGCTGAACTTCCCCAGCATGGTCCCCCGGCCCAGGGGCCCTGGGGCCAGATTATAGTCCAACGTGTGGTTCTGCTGTTTGCCGCAGTTGGATTTGTCCAGGCCACAGTCCACTTCCAGCTCCTTCTTCTGGTTTGTGTTCTTGAGCTGGGCAGCGGGGATCAGGTTGTCCTTCTGGAAGTCCGACAGGTTGTTCATGGCCTCTCTGCTGCCATCCTCGGGCTGCCGGAGCCGCAGCTGCCGCACTGCCACTGCGACCATCCCCAGCAACACCAGCACGACCACCAGCCCCACGCCCAGGGAGACAGCCACCCAGGGGAAGCTGGGGGGCAGGCTCATGGGGAACTCGCAGCGGCTGCCCACAAAGCCGTAGGGGCAGTTGCAGACGAAGTTGTCGGGTGAGAGGCCGGGGTAGCAGGTGGCCCCATTGAGGCAGGGTCCTGAGGAGCAGGCGTCCCCACTGGGGCTCGGGAGCTGGACCTCACAGCGCCGGCCGGAGAAGCCGGAAGGGCAGGTACACACGAGCCCGTTCTGCAGGTCGTGGCAGGTGCCTCCATGAGCACAGGGGTTTCGGGCACAGTTGCCAACTGGCTGCTCACAGTGGGCGCCTGTGAATCCAGGGCGACAGCGGCAGATTCGGTTCGGCCCTCGGATCAGGCATTGGCCACCTGTGGGTGTGCATGGAGGGGGGGCATGAGTCAGTGATCGCCTCGGAAGCCCCCAAGACAGCAGGTAGGGAACCCCTCCCAAGAAGGAGCTGGGGTCCTTCTGCCTTCATGCACACGGCCCTGTGTGGCATGTAGAGCCTGATTGCTCCTGAGCGTGCCCTGGCTTTGAGGGCAAGCCCAGGCCCTATGCCTTTGTGGGCCCACCAAGAAAATCCCTGGCCTCTCCCACAGTTCTGCTCTAGAATCAGGCAGACAGGGCTTGCTTCCCAGCTGTCCCTCTAGCTGGGGATCTGGACCCTGCTCCTTTCCCTCACTTCTAAGCCTCAGTTTCCTCATTTGTTATCTAGGGTTTTAATGGTCTTCTCTCCCTAGAGGAGGAGTTGTGGGGCAAGACTGGACAAGGTCTGAAGGCAGGACCCTGTGTTTTGTTTGCTGTGCAGAGGATTGAACCCATGTCTCATGAGGGCAAGTCAAGAGCTTTTCCTTTGACCACATCCCCAGCCCTGGAACAAGTTTGGGTGGAATGGAGCAAATGTTCCCATAACTGCAATGACCAGTGTCCTTATCATCATCACTATGTGCAGACTTCCAGCATCACATTTTCCTACTCTGTGCTGAATGAAGGAGCCCGGGACTCTCAGGATGCCATCTCGGCCCTGGCAGCTCACACCAGTTCCAGCACCCCAGCCTGTTCTCCTGCTGGCACTGCAACCTGCCTCACCTGTGGCTACTGAGCACCACCAGCTTTCGTCCCACTCCCATGGCCCTGGAGCAAGGTGAGGCCTTCTGGAAGAGGACTGCTTTTTTGTTGTTGTTTTGGGGCTACACTCAGCTCTGCACTTAGAAGTCATTCCTGGTGATGCTCAGAGAACCATATGGGATGCCAAGGCTCCAACTCAGGTCTGCGTCGTACAAGGTAAATGCCCTACTCGCTGTACTATCACTCTGGCCCCTGAAAAGGGCCATGTTGGTCTGTCTTTCTTCCAGGATTTGTGGAGGAAGATCAAAGGCCATCCCAGCCAGGTCAGGGCCCTAACCCAAAAGAGGAATCATATCCCATGAAACATAGACCACTTTCCCCAGGCCTGTACCTGCGGCAAACCTGCTCCTCTCTGAGAGTTTCCAGCTGATAAAACAAACTATGCCCTATCCAGAGCAGGGAGTAGAAATGGGGGCTCTCCAATCTTGTTCCTGTCCCCCCTCACCCAAGGGCTCTCCTGGTCTCAGGCTGCTCCACTAGCTTAGAGTGGCAACAGAGGGGCTGGAGCAATAGCACAGCGGGTAGGGCATTTGCCTTGCACGTGGCCCACCTGGATTCGATTCCCAGCATCCCATATGGTCCCCTGAGCACCGCCAGGGTAATTCCTGAGTGCAGAGCCAGGAGTAACCCTTGTGCATCCGCCGGTTGTGACCCAAGAAGCAGAAAGAAAAAAAAGAGAGAGAGGCAATAGGACACACCGTTGGCACACGGATTGTTAGTGCATCTGTCCACTTTCTTTTCGCAGTTGGAGCCAGTGAAGTTGGGGGGACATTCACAGGCATAGCTGGCTCCTTGGTTGCGCTCCCGGCAGGAGCCCCCATTGAAGCAGGGGGAGTCAGCGCAGCTCAAGGTGCTGTGTTCACAATGTAGGCCATAGTATCCGGGGGGACACAGGCAACGGTAGCTGTCCTCTTGGTCCTGGAGAGAGACAGGGAGTCAGACTGGGGGGTGGGGGGTGGAGGCAGGAGTGCACGATGGGGGCTGGAGCCCATCTGTCGCGGCACACCTGGTGGGTCCTGCCTTCCCGTGCAGCCAGGGCCTCACCTTGCAGCTGCCTCCGTTGCGACAGGGGTTGCTATCGCACTTGCTGAGCTCCAGTTCACAGTCCACGCCGGTGAAGCCAGGGAGGCAGGTGCAGGTGTAGCTCCGCTGCCCGCTGTTGGAGCACGTTGCCCCATTCTTGCACGGGGAGTGGTGGGTACAGTAGTTGAGATCTGTGGAGACAGGAACAAAGCAGCTGAGCAGAGCCAGAGAATGGACCCTCTCTCCAGGCACCTGGTAGGGCCAGGCCACCACCGGTGGGTGGCCCCAAGAGACTGGACCAACGGCCACCCTTCTCCCCACTGAAATCCTGTATGTAGAGCAGCCAACACGCATAGCTGTCAAGAGTGAAACCCCCCAAATAAAAAATATATTGTGAACTACTTTATAAAAACAGTGGAAAACCTACAAGAGGGTACAGCCTGCCAGGAAAGCTCACAGAACACGGTCAGCCTGGGCAGAACCTTTATTTGTTTTGTTTGGGGGCCACACCCAGCCATGCTCAGGGCTTACTCCTTGGGCTCTCTGCACTCAGGGATCACTCCTAGTGGGGGGGAAGGGAACGATAACGTGGTGCTGGAGATCAAGTCATGGTCAGCCATGAGCAAGGCAAGCCACTCAACCCTTGTGACTATCTCGAGCCTGGGTAGAAAGAAGGGAAGACAAGTGGCAGGCAGGGCAACTGAGGAGGAAGTCAGAAAAGGGTGCGAGGAGGAGGGCAGCTGATAAGGCTGGAGGTGGGGGGCAGCCTTGCAGCAGCTGGAGATGGCAGAGTGGAAGTGAGAATCAATGCCCGGAGTGAACAGGCATTTCTAAACGGGGAGGGTATGAGGAGGGTATTTTGAAATATAAGTATTTGTTTTCTTTATTCGGGAAGAACAGGGAGGGCTGAACCAGACAGAGCAAATATGGGGACTGTAACGGCTGTTTGCTTATGATGAGTATATGACTCTGTCACCTGGGATAAATGTGGGGGAGAGTAAAGAGCCAGGTGTGTGCGTCTGGGTGGGGAGAGGGAGAGAGAGGAGAGGTGACAGAGAGAGAAGCATGCAAGAACTGTGCAGGGTATGGAGAGGAAAGCTCACAGGGGCTGAGTTCCAAGCCCCTTGTTGCTGCTTGCAAGTCAGGGCCTGTGCAATTCTTTGGGTCCTGGCAAGCCCCTCTGCCCACCCTCCTGGGCCTGTGCCCAGATCTCCATGGCAGCAGCAGCACTATTTGACCCTGAAAATGGGAGAGGCACCTGGTCCTGCTGGCCCCCAGGATGAAGGAGAAAAGGCTCCTCCCCGAGGCTGGGTCTGGCAAATTCCTAATCACATTGCCCAAAGAGTGACAGAGCCCTCAAACACCAGGAAGAGATTGTGTGGGCTCAGCCACCTGCCTGGCATAGGCAAGTGGGGGGAGAACAGGGAGGCAGTTTGTGCCCACCTGGAGAAGTCGGTTAGGTGTCACTCCGCCCAGAGGCCCAGCTCGCCCGCAGCCTTGGGGCAGCCGGTGGGTACACCCCACCAGGCAGCTGTTTCGGGGAGAGCTGCTCAAACAGCGCTGGCAGGTAAGCAAACACTTGGGGGTTAATCGGTAACTTTAAGGATGAAAGAGGAACTGAGCCTGCTCATCTCTCTCCGCCTTGCTGGAATGCATGCCCGAGCCCTTGACTTCCAACATCCCACCCGGTTGGCTTCTCCAGCCAGCCTGCCAACCCAGCCCTGGGCTGTGATGGAACCCTCCCCTGCTCCTTCGCGGCCCATGGCAACTCTCCTGATAAGTCTCAGGCTCCCTGAACGATCCTGGAAAAGCCAACTGAGAAGGGTACAGCTGCTCCTGACCCCTAAAGTCCCCTCTATTTCCTGTCGTGGCCCCGACTCACCTTGGTCACAGAACAGGCCTCCCCAGCCCTCGTCACAGTTACATTCCCAAGGGATGCTGCAGGTGCCATGGCGACAGCCATTGTGGGGGATACATTCGTTGCAGAGACGACCCTGCCAGCCTGGGCGGCAGCTGCAGAACAGAACAGAGGCTGAGGGTGAGGTGAGGTCCTGGCCAGGGGCTGGCTCTCCCTCCCTGCCTCCGCCGCTACTCACATGCACTCGGCGGGCTTGCTGCAGTAACCATTCTGCTCGTGACAGCCAGAAAGACAGATAGCTGCAGAGATGAAACGGGGCTGGGTGAGGCTGGGGTGCCAAGGACTCTGAAAACCCCAGTCTCCTTTTTCCTGGCCCTTGGGGGTACCTCCAGAAGAGCCATGGGTATCTTTTGTTCTGTTTTATTTCTTTTAGAGCATCATCCCAGCTGTGCTCAAAGGCCATTCCTGCCTCTGTACTCAGGAGTGACCTCTGGCTTTGCATGGGGAACCGTATATGGTACACAGAATTGAACCCGGGTTGACCACGTGCAAGGCAAGTGCCTTACTCCCTGTGCTCTCTGTGTCCCTGCCCTGGGCATCTTAAAGGGAAGTGGCAACCCCTTCCAAAAGACTCCAGGCTGGAGGGACTGCAATAATGGGGTTCTCGTGGGCTTTCCATGAGAGGGAGGTGTGTAAGAAGAGCCATTTGAGCCCAAGGCCATCCTAAATATCCCTTGGTGTCCCCTGAAGCCCAGCAAGTGAGCAACCCGGCCCACTCTTCAAGGGAGGCAGGCCAGGGTCTAAGAGGATGCCACCATGGGGTATGCTCCAGGACCCCCTCCAGGCAGGCGGGAGCTTGGCCGCTTACGCTGTTCGCAGTACTCCCCGGTCCAGCCGGGCAGGCAGGACAGGCTGCCATCTGGCTGGCACACATAGTGGCCGAAGTGGTCATTGCGATTCTTGCACAGGCGGGAGCAGCTGTCCCCATAGTAGTTGTCACTGCAGATGACGCGGTAAGAGTAACGCAGCCTTGTGAGGGTATTGGTCTGCTCCTCCAGCAGCCAGTTCTGGCCCACAGGGAGCGAGCCTTGGATGAAGATCTTGCTGATGAGCGTGTCGGCTGGTGGTGAGGCCTCTGAAGGGGCAGAGGTCAAGGAGGGGCAGAGGTCAAGGAGGGCAGCCAGTTCCCCAGGGGGCCCAGCAACTGCTGGATCACAGCCACTGCCCAGATGACCCCCACCTGCCAGCCAGCAGGACCTGAGGAACCCAACAGTGCCCCTGCCTGGCTGTCTGTGAGTGCCCTGATACCATTCAGAAAGGGGACAATGGAAGGATGTGAAGATAGCCCAGAGTTCTGGAGGCCGATAGGGAGGGGAAAGAGGAAAAGAGGTCAAAATGGGAAAAAGCAAAAAAGAGAGAGAGAAGAAAAAGAAAAGCCCTCCAGTCTAGGGTGGGCCCTGGGAAAGAGGGGTCCCAGTGCCCATTCAGGGGTTCTGCCCGCGGAGATAGGTAATGCTTTTCTTTTTCCTTTTCAAAGTGAGAATTGTTGTGCTGCTGAAATATCCTTTTCCTCTGTGTCAGAACAACATCCCAAAGCCATTATTCCCTTTCCAAAGGAGCGGAATTCGCGAAAGGTGTAAAATACAGGAAGGGGCCCGTCAGCGGTGCTGGCAGCTTCGGCCTTTCTCACCGCCGTGCTCCCCGCGTTCCCACGCCAAAAATAACCCGCAGGAAACGCAATTGTGCTCAGAATCCAGGCAGCGGGCGGAATCGGAGCGGCCAGCGCGGGGCGCAGCTCCGGGCCTGAGCGGAGCGTCCTGCCTCCCACCCCAACCCCGCACTTCCCCCGCCCGGTGCAGATTAACTCTTTCGGCGCTGCGTCGTGTCGCCCCCCTGTGGCGGCCGAGCGAGCTACTCACCTGGCTGCAGGTTGTCTCCAGGAGCGTGCCAAGCTTCGATGATGAGTGAGAAGGTACCCTGGGAAGGGAAAGGAGGAGGGGAGTCAGAGAGAAAGAGAGAGAAAGAGAGAGACAGAGACGGTGAGATGAGCCGGGCGGGGAGGGCGGGTGGGGGTGGTGCCTCGCGGCAGCCGGTTTCATTACTCTAATTGCAGGATACAGTTACTGCGCCCGGGTCAACATAACGGCTCTGCGGGTCTGAGGGTTTGCGCGCAGCTTAGCGCGCAAGCTGGGAAGGCGAGAGGAGAGCCGGGATGGGAGGAGTGGGGAGGGATGGGGCGAATGTACGCCGGAGCCTTTCGGGAGACGCGGAACCCGACGGGCGGGGGTGGGAGGTGATGAAAATCATGTCCCGGGCGTTGGAAGGGGGAGACTAGTTAGGAGCCTTCCTGAGGATGAGGTCTCGGGAGAAAAAGGAAAGAAAGGAGCCGGAGAGAGCGCTCTTGGCTTGTTTTGTTTTGAGGGGCGCGACAAAATCGGGGGCCGTGGGAGAGGGGTGCGGGCTGTGATCCCCGGGAGCCTCCTTCTCTCGGGTGTGGTGACCTCCCAGGCTGCGCTCACCGGCCAGGTGAAATTGAAGGGCAGCTGAAGAGGGTTGCGTCCACCGCCGCTGCTGTCGTCCCCGACGGCGAAGGAGTTGATGCCCAGCACGGGCGTCGAGACGTTGCCGAAGGTGCAGTGGCCCGGCAAGATGATGGTTTGGAAGTGCTTAAGGCAGACGCGGAAGAAGGTCCTGCAGCCCGACTCGCAGGGTCGCCCGCTGGCGAGGACGCCCCGCTCGTTGGCAAACTCCTGCAGCTGCAGCTGGAAGACTCCGGAGCCAGCCGCACGCTATTGCACAGGGACGGAGGGAGAAGGAGCGAGGGGAGCGATCAGCTCCGCGGACGGACGCCCAGGGCTCAGGCCCGGGGATCGGCGGGAGGGGACAGAGGGGACTCGGGACGTTACCTGCTGCCAAAGAGCCACCAGCAGCAAGAGCGCCCAGACAGAGGCGCTCCGGAACACGGCTGCCATCCCCTGGGGCGTCGCTCTTTGCACTCGCCGGCCCTGTCGCTGGCTCGGTTCGCAGCGCTGCTTTCCCGCGCGTCCGCCCGCCCGAGGGGGCCACTGAAACGCCGGGCTCTGCTGGGGGCTTTCCTCCCTCCTCGCCTCCTGGCTGGCTCACTCCGCTCCCACTGCCCCGGCGGTCTGTAATCCAGGAGGTAAGGGCGGCTGAGCGGCGGCCTCGAGGAGGAGGACCTGTCCTCGGGCTAATCCAGGGACTGCAAACGGGCTGGTGCCCGGGTCCAGCAGGGGGGCGGCTTGAGTTGTGGCTCCTTAACCTCGTGTTTCCAGCCTGCGCTCAGCGCCGCTACTGAAACCTGCGCTCTCCGGAGCCTGCCGTATTTATATCCTCAACGCCTGTCACTCAGTCTCCTACGGTCACTCTCTCTCCTCCCCTCCCGCTCTGGATGCTACAGTCCCAGCGCCGCCCCGAGGGGGCCTCCGCCCCCGCCGGCCCCGCTAGCAGCCAGCCAGTCAGACGCAGGTCCCCGCCCCTGCCACTCCCGGGCCCCACGGATCCCCCAGCCCTGCGCGTGCCGAGCGGACAGCGTCTCCGTCTCCAGTTTAGGAACGGCGACCCCGGCCTCGGAAAGATGGGGGTCGGGGGAGGAGGAGGGGAGGGAGGGTTGTGGGGGCATGTGGCGTGAGCATGGTCGTGGGGCGGAGACACTGGGGAGTCCCCGCAGGCTCTAGGACCTCAACCGGTGCAAGTTACCTGCAGACCAGGAACAGGTAAACTTCAGCCGGGAAAACGAAAGCAGCCCTCAATCTGATCCCCCCCTTCTCCCAGGAGTTTCGGGAACCCTAGGCTCTGGTGAGCGCCCACCCACCGCGCGTCCTCAGAGCGCAGGGAAGCCAGAGCACGCATTAACCTTTCTGTGACCACGGGGGACAGGCCAGATGCCAAGCGTCTGAGACTCGGACGAGGGGGGAGGGTTCGCCCTCGGTCCTCCACACCTGGCGGTCGTTTCCCTCCCTAGATGCGGGAGCGTGTCCTACGCGTGCCCCTTCCCCCCCACACGCTCCCCCACCCCCGCCTGAGCCGGGCGCGTGCCAGCCCCTGGACGCGTGCCCCTCCGGCTGGGGAGGAGGGGGCGTGGTCCCCGAGGTGGAACTGGGGGCCCGCGTCCTCAGCTGTATGGTAATAAGGGTCTGGCCCCGCCTCCAGCGCGTCCCCCACACCTGGGGTCGGCTTGAGCGTGTGTGCCCACCGCCTCACCCCCTACCCCAGCGGCACCAAGCCCCGAACCGCGTCCTGTCGCTCCGTTGGGGCCTGGGAGGAAACTCTCCTGGCCCCAGAGTTGGTTGGAGAGACAGGAGAGTCCAGGTGAGGGGCTTGGGGCCGGCGCACCCGCGAGGGGGCCCCTGCTCTTAGAATGACTTGCGGTGGGGTTGGGGGGGATGATGGGGGCGGTGGTTTAAGATGAAGATTGCACCCGGAATCCCGCGGGCTCTGCTCTGGCGGCTTCGCCCCACTCGCCTCTGCGGCTCCCCCCGGTGGCCCCACTTCTGCGAGTGGCAGCCGTGCAGCTGCTTTCCCGGAACCAGGCATGATCCCCAGAGGCCGGCGCTCCCGGACTCCCGGAGTGCTGGGGAGCGCGCCCTGCGCTACGCGGAGGGTGGCGGGGTGTGCTGGCTTCAGCTGTCAGCCAGCCCTACTGCGAATGCTGCCGTCGGGTGATAAGATCGGCTGGGGGGGGGGGGGGTAGCAGGGACGCGGCGCGGGCCCAGGGGAGGCTGCTGGGGGCGGGGGTGGAGGGGAGCTCGGCGCGGAGCCCAACAGCTGCCTATGCGCAGCATAGCTTGATTTTTTTTTCTTTTTGGATTTCAGGGTGGTGGTGGAGGAGTTGGGGGGGATGAGAAACAAGAGGTTGGGAGCGTGGGTTGGGGGCGGGGTGAAGTGAGGAGACTAGCTCTGGGTTCCCCCACTCATGGTCACCCCTCCCAGTCACCATCTGGCATGAGCGGGTTGGCGTGGGGAACCGAGGTGGGGCGGAGGCCGGCAGATGGGTCCAGGCTATGCTCCGGAGTTAATGTAGGTTAAGGGTAGGCGAGGCCCTGGGCCCTAGGGAGGGGGCGCCGGCCTCCCAGCCAATCTCTGTTCTTACTCTAGGGGCCCTGGATCCGTAGCCCCTAACTCTCACTGAGCTGGTCTCCAGCCTCACCTGTTTCTGTCCATCACCACCTTTTGACTTCACAGAAACCTGTTCCTGGCCTGGCCTTCAAGGCTGACGCCCCCATATATTTGAACCCTTCTCTACACCACTATCACCTCCATACACAGCTCTGCTAATGTGACCAAAAAGCACTTTGCAAATGCCCAAGGACCAAACAAAATCGTCATTTTGAAGACACAAAATCCACAGGACCCCAGAAATGGGCAATCCTGATCCTGGGCAGGGAAGGGTTAAATTCTCACCACGACCAAAAGCGGTTTTGAAGCACCTACTTGCTGCCAGGTGTTGTAGCAGTAGATCCTGACAGGACAGAACCCCACCACACCCCTAGGGACCCACTAATGCTGGTCCCTCTTTGCCCACATTTTGCTTATAGGAGAAGGTCCCTCAGCGAGCAAGAACTAGGAATAGACAGCACCCACAGCTGAACTTCTCTCTGACTTTGTCTGTCTGTCTCTGTCTCTGTCTCTCCTCCCCCCACCCCTTGAGATTGGGGAGCTCAGAGGAGCAGGAGGTGGTGAGAATCTCCGCTGCCCAGGCACTGTGGACTTGGACCCCCAGGACAGCTTGAAGACCCTCTGCTTGGGTAAACTCTCCCAGATGTCACACGGCTGGAGACTGGTCATGGATGCACAGTCAGATGGACCTGGGTTCCCCAGCAATGACCCATGGGACTTTGAGGGTCCAGCTCGCTCACAGCAGCTGGCACCTCGATACAGTGTTCTGCAGTGAAGCTTCTTGGCCTTCTGCATCTGTGATCATCTCCATGGGGCACCCCATGCAGCCCCCAGCAGGCCCACTCTGTGCCAAGGTTATCTTCCAGCAGTACCTCTGGATTATTAGGGCGCCAAAGCGGCCAGGTGACTCCCCCGCTGGTAGAGCCCCCCTACCCAGCCCTCCCCGGTAGCAACAGCACAACTTCAAGACAGTAGTTTTTTTTTTGTTTTCTTGTGGCCCATCCTCCTCCTCCCCCCTTCGCAGTCCCCCAGCACCGCGTCTTCTGCGGGGCAAACTGCTGGCGGGTGCGGAGCCCGGCGGGCAGGCCAGGGGCGGGGCGCTTAAACCCGGTGGGGCGCCGCTGCGGTGGCTGCGGCGAAGGGGCCACGTGCAGGGAGCGGCGGCCGCGAGCTGCACAGAAGGCGGGGAGATTTGCAAACTGTTGCTGCCACATGGCTGCTCCATTCGCTCCATTCACATTGAAATGAGGCCGGCGCGTGCCTCATCTGCCGCAGGGCGCTGCCACGCGTCAGCCCGACCTGCCGCGTGCCAACTGGGGCAGTGGGGCTGGCAGGGCCTGGCAGCCGCGGGGCGCAGCCCGCGCCCCGAGGACAGGAGGGGCAGGGGGCGGGACCGGGCTCCCCGAGCCTCGGGCGTGCCAGTTACTCGGACCTTGGCCCCGCAGGTGGGAGCGAGCGGCGAGGAAAGATCAGGACGGGGCCGGCCTTCGGAGGGGGGCCGGGATCGATGCCGCCGCTCCCCGCAGATGCAGCCCGGCCGCGCTACTCTCCATCTGCCGCTGCTCGCACCTGCCGGTCAATAAATCCATTTTACAATTTAATGCAGCAGCTTCCCGCCCGCCTGGGACAGATGCCGCAGCAGAACCACCTCCGCCCTCGCCCCTCCCCTAGCTGGGCGCCAGCGGTTAGGGCCGGGATTCCCGCTCCCCGAGGCACCACCGCGGGGGGCTGGGGGGGGGCTTTTACCTCTCTCTACACTCCGTCCCCACAAGGAACGGCCTGTTTGGGGGTCTTTCCCACTGGACAGAGTGGCCTCCCCTGGGGACAGGACTGAGGCTGGTGAAGGGAAAAGGAAGGCAATGACTTGGTTGGGGCTGAAGGACTCCTGGAAAGTGTGTACTGGGGGGTGGGGGGAGCGGGATGGGGAGGAAGAGGGAGGATTTTCTAGCTAAAACATGATGCAGTGAATGCAGCGACCTTCACAGGTGAGAGCCTCTGAAGGGTCAGAATGACCCCCGGGGAGGAGAATATGGCCTGTCCCCGTCCCCTGTTCAGACCTGGGCATCGGCCTGACCAGGCACCTGGCTCTTGGCACTTCTCAGCCACAAGGTCCTGGACTGGTCAATAGCTATCTCCAGGCCTCCGTTTATCCATCTGTGTGATGGCAGTAACACAGCCCTCCTCCAAGCAAAGAGTTGTGTTGGGTTATTAGGACACAGGGCACAATATGCTTCTTTATTTCCTCCTCCCTCCGTCCCCCATCTTCCAGGGAACATCCTCATGGCCAGGGACAGACCCTGAGTGCAGATGAGTTCCAGGAGAAAAGAAGGAAAAGGGAGAGCCAAAAGCTGTCATGAGGGATGAGAGGAGAGGAATAGAGGTGGGAGAAGAAGGGCCCTGGTGGGTGTGGGTACGGGAGGGAGCAGATGGAGACATCTCAGCTGAGAGGGCCTGGGTGGAGAGGCGCCTCACCCAGGTGCCCATCCTTTCCTTGGGACATTTGGGTCATCCAGCATGACCCATCATGCCCAATCTGGCTCCGACAAGAATCTTGACTGACGGGAGAAAACTAGAGCTTTAAAACTGGATTTGGGTGCTTGAGAGATAGTTCAAAGGACTGAAGCACATGCTTTGCACATGTGGAAGGCCCAGGTTCCATCTCCAGTACCCCACAGGAAAGTAATTCCCAGCACTGTGTTGGGAATATTCACCACCACCGTCCTCAGGACTGCCAGGTGTGGCCAAAACAAACAAAAGAATGGATTTGAGGCTAGGGATATATCTCAGTGGCTGGAGTGCTTACCATGTGTATGAATCCCTGAGTTCAATACCTGGCACCACCGAAAGAAGAGGTGGGGGAGCAAGCTGGGGACAGAGAGATGGTTCAAAGAATTGAGTGCTGGCTCTGCATGGGGAGGCCCAAGTTTAATCGTCAGCACCACGTGGTCCCTTGAGCACTTCTAGAAATGTTCCCCCCAACCATTGCCAGGTGTTGCCAAACTTCCCTTCTCCAAAATGATGTTGGTGCTATAGTGATGGGGAGATGGCTCAAAGGGTTAGAACATGTGCCTTGCATGCAGGAACCACAGTTTTGATTGCCAGCACCAGATGGATCCTTGAATACTATGCTAAGTACTCCCAAGTACCCCAACTGGAGGCCCTAAGAATCAGTTGAGGAAAAAAACAAAAAAGGCGAAGTTTGGAAAAAGAAATTTCCCATGGTCTTGGTCTCTGGAGATGCCCCTCTCTCTAGTCAAGCTTTGGTCTGGCAGCCCTCTTGCTTGATAGAATGTCCCAGAGCAGAGTGACGTGGGAGGAAAAAGAAG